TATCACGATGGCGTCTGCTCCAGACGCGCGAGCCTCCACTTCTGGTCACTTGTTACTCACACTCGCGGCATTGGTATATACCACGAGCAGACCTCTTCTCCCCCTCTCCTGGCCCTGGTTCCTGGGAGAGAGCCGGTCGCTCGGGACTTATACCCAAGCTCTGCGTCCGTTTTTTGGGACACCCATCTGTGCCCTTACCCTCGCCTGGAAAGCACCCCCCACCCGATTTCCTGGATCAGCCCTAGTCGGCATGCTAGTAACTGCTGGTGTTCTTACCGACCTTCTCAGCGGCGCTTCCGTGCCTTGCGGAGCCCCCATCTTGCTTGCTGTCGTTGCTAACCTGCTTACGGGGCTCCTCAATGTGGGAACCATTAGCTTCTGAGTGATTATTCTAGGGGTGTTGAACCCTGATAACTGGTGGCATGTGGCCATACCAGTCCTCTGCCGTGTCGTTTGGGGTTATGACGATACCCCCAGCAATTTTATGCCGGATCATCCCAGCGGCTGCCAGGAGCCCATCCCTATGTCTTTGATTGGCCAATTCTACCAAGGTTGGTCTTGGGATCTGGGCGTTTGCGGCCTGTACGCCTCGCCACTTACCAAGCCTCATCAGTCGTTTGATCGCCACGTGACCTGGTATTTCGGCCACTAGCAGCAGGTTTACTACGTGATACCTCATTCCCTTCTCCCTATCCCGCCCTTGTCGCATGAAGGGTTCCGGGATACCCTCAATCACCACGTTGCGGTGCCACCCTAAGGCCAGATCACTGCTCTTCTCCAGCCTTGTCAGTGCTTCATTCATCCTAGCCTGGTTGGCTTCCAGCAGCCCCACTCTTTAAGTTAGGTTGGCTAAGCTCACCTTACCTTCAAGGCTATCTATTGTACTTAGCTCTTTTAACTGGCTGCGTAGGATGACAGTCTGGTTGCCCTCTGAGCCGGCGGAGACATCAGTATTTGCCTTAGTGTCCCCACATCTTCCTTAATGCTTTTTTTCCGTTGTGTGCTCTAAAACCCTTGATGTGGAAACTACCGCCTTCCACTTGAAATGTTGTATCTTTGGGCCCTGATCCAACATGTGACCGGCGAGACCAGATGGAGGTTCGGGCAAACAGCTTTTACTCTATACCTAGTGTGCGAAAAGTTCCCCAACGAGGTGCGGGGAATTGTTGTGGAAGACCCGTTGGGCAAAAGCGACCACGGGGTTATGAGGATGAGGATCAGAATGCAGGAACTACCTGCTCCTGACAAATTTCGGCGTCAGTGGAACAAGATAGACACAGAGGACCTGCAGCGTAGGGCATGCCGGCTAAACTGGTTGGCTGAGAGTGCACAAGAAAGTGTGCAGGACCAGTGGGAGCACGTAAAGGGCAACCTACCGGAGCTGACCAATAAGGTGTCACCCGAAAAAAGGGTAAGACGCCGTGGCAATGTCTTGGTGGAGGGCGCGTGTCGACAAAGCAATGCGACGCAAAAAGAAGGCGTGGCAGCGCTATCGAAGCTCGGGAGGTTTTTGCGCCCACGTAAGGTACACGATACAAGGCGCGAGGCCACTAGAGTCCAGAACGAGTGCAGAAAACGGTACGAGGAACGCTTGGCTTTCATCACCAAACAAAACCCTAAGGCGTACTCCAATTATGTTCAGTCCGAGAGTACCCTTAGAAAGGAAGTAGGCACAATTGTTGACACGAGGGGAACTAAACTTGGTCCAACCAAGAGAAGGCGGAAGCCCTCCTCAATTACTTCCAAAGGGTGTACAGATCAGACAACGGTAGACCAGAGCATCCCTTCGGCAATCATGAGAGAACTGTTATGCTTGACGTGGTGATCGCTGAAGATAAAGTACAAACTTGTGAGCTAAAGTCCTTTAAGCAGCGTTTCTCGAATTGGTTCCTCTCAATTCACTCCGTTCTTGTCCGTGGCATATGCTAACCAGGTAGCTGTGCACACCTTCTCAAACCAATATTACCAGTACACATATTCAGCTTCAAACCTCGTATCGTGGAATCAACTCAGTCTGGTAAATACCTTTACAAGCATTATGTCCCAAAATCCAGTAAGCAAAATGTTTTGCGAATTATTTTCACGCACTTCATTTCGTTCTCGTCCGTGGCATATGGTAACCAGGTAGCTGTGTACACTTTCATAACCCATTCTAATCAGTACACGGATTCAGCTTCAA